TCATGCTTTTTGGAAGATCCGAATATAGAGAATTGGTGCACATAGTGTGACACAAAGTCTCCAAAGAACCTTCCTCAGGTTTTGAATTCAGAGTTGACCTTCCCCCAGACCGGTTGCTACCCACCCAAGTTTATCCAGCAATTTTTTCCATAGCTGGCGGAAAAGAATAAGTGAACATAGAAGTCAACACTTAGAGGCGACAGTCTGTTTCATGCTATATGCAATCGTCAGGCCACCAATTTCATATAGCATGAAACAGACTGTCGCCTCTAAGTGTTGACTTGTGTGTTCACTTTTATATTTACACACGCTCTATCTCTGACATTGAGCACTTTATCCCATAAATATAGCATATCTTAAGACTATATTTCTTCATATATATATATATATATATATATATATATATATAATCCAATCAATCCTTTACATTCACATACGTGCTAATACCCTTGGGAAAGGTATGAATTCTCTTCTTCTCCCACCAGCAGACTGGATTCCATAGCATTGGATGGCAACTGGTCTACCGTAGAAAGAAATGGCAATCTACTGTAGGAAAAAAAATCTCCCTCGTCAGTCACATGATCATCTAAGCGCACATAACTTTATATATATATATTTATTATTATACAATCTTACAGCACACTATGAAATTAATACAAATGATATTGGTTTATACAGGGACGATGGGCTAATGGTCATTAGAAACTCAACGAACTTCAAAATAGATAGAATTAGAAAGTTATTATATAAAGAATTTAAAAGCATGGGCTTAAAAATTACAGTTAGTACTAAATTAAAAAAAGTAGACTTCCTAGATATAACTTTAGATCTAAATAAAAATACATACACACCTTATAAAAAACCCAACACCAATCCTTTATATATACATCCTAAATCAAATCACCCCCCCATCTATAATTAAACATATACCGTTATCTATAAGTAAACGAATTAGTACAAATTCAGCTAATAACAAATTTTTTTGATGAGCATATCAATGGCTATAATAAGGCTCTAAAAAGATAGTGGCTACAAAAACCCAAAACTAGCGTATATAAAAAAAATGAAAATGGAAAACATAGAAAAAACAGATGTAGAAAAATTATTTGGTATACTCCCCATATAACCAAATGGTAAAGAACAGATTAGGACATAAATTCCTCACATTAATAGTCAAGCATTTCCCTTGTGAAAATAAACTAAGTACTATTTTCAATAAAAAACACACTAAAATTAAGTTATAGCTGTACAAAGAACTTAGAAAAATCATTAAGAACCATAATGCTAATATCTTAAATAAACACTTATACCAAAACCAAAAAAATTTAGACAATAGAAAAATTAAGATAAAAACAGATGTAAATAAACAAAAACTATGTAATTGTCGAAACCCTCAAAATTGCCCACTACAAAATAAATGTTGCACTGAATCATTAGTATACCAATGCAATATCTCTTCGATTGAAAATCCTGATAACATAAAAATATATATAGGTTGCACTAGCCATGAATTCAAAAAAAGATTCAACCAACATCAAACTTCATTTAGAATAAATAAATATAAAAATCAAACATCTCTCAAAAATATTTCTGGCATCTAAAAGAATCAAATAAAACACCTACAGTAAAATGGAAGTTAATAAGAAGAGCTAGAATTTGTAGATCATTAAACGACCCGTGTCCTCTATGTATACAAGAGAAACTATATATTACTAAGTTTATAAAAAATAAAAATTTACTGAATCAGAGAAATGAAATAGCTATTATATGCCGTCATTGTCAAAAAATTTTCCTTAAATAATATATAAAAAAAAAAAAAAAAATCTATTGGAATGGCAGGAAAATGTTTTAAACTGTTATTTAAAATTTAAAATTGTGGTTAAAACGTATTAAAACATAAACACCGTTTAAAAAATTGTAGTTAAATAAAATGTATCCTAACCGAAAACACCTCTATAATAAATGTACTACAAACACTTGAATGAATCCGATAAAACACCTCCTGAAAAATGAAATTATAACTAAAGCTAGATGATGTAAGGTAATGTATGACCCATTGTTCTTTGTACATACATATGAAACTTTATTACTCAGGTTACATATATTTAAAATAAATAATTTAATTAATTAATACATAAAAGTTTACTAAATCTGAGAAATGACTTAGATAGTTTTGTAGTCTGTGCCATTTATATTACTTAAATATTTAAATATAATAGTTTAAAAAATTGTAATTTACATATACTTTGTTATGGAAAAATAATTATACTTACTATGAGTAATTATCCTTCTGTTATAAAGTAATATAGTCAATTAAAACTAACAATGAAAATATTTTTTAAAATTTTAATGTGGTAATTTTAAAATTGTAATTAAAATTTTAGTTAAATAAAATGAATTCTAACCTGTTCTTGGTACATACATATGAAACTTTACTACTTAGGTTACATATATTTAAAATAAATAAATAAATTAAGTAATAAATAAAGTTTACTAAATCTGAGAAATGACTTGGCTAATTTTGTAGTAAGTTCCATTAATATTACTAAAATAATATTTTAAAATATAAAGGTTTAAAAATTGTAATTTTATATACTTGGATATTGAAAAATAATTTTTACTTACTATGAGTAATATTCCTTCTGTTATAAAGTAATATAGTCTAATATAACTAACAATGAAAATATTTCAAAAAGTTTAAATTTTATAATTTTAAAATTGAAACTAAAATTAAAGTTAAATTGAATGAATTCTAACCTAAATTTCTTTTAAATAATACTACACGCACTAAAAAAGAATCCCAAAAAAGCAAATATAGTAAAATAAAATTAATATGAAATGCCATAAGATGTAAGCTTTTTGAATGACCCATGTCCTTTGTACTTACATGAGAAACATTATATCACTAGGTTTATATATATATAAAAAAAAAAAAAAATGTAACCTCATATACATACTTAAACTTGAATTAATACATAAAGTTTACTAATTCTGAGAAATGACTTAGATAGTTTTGTAGTCTGGGCCATTAATATTACTTAAATAATATCTAAATTAAAAGTTTAAAATTGTAATTTTATATACTTTGATATGAAAAAAAAATTTTTACTTACTATGAGTAATTATCCTTCTGTTATAAAAGTAATATAGTCTAAATTAAAACTAACAATGAAAATATTTTAAAATTTTAAAGTTATAATTTTAAAATTGAAATTAAAATTGTAGTAAAATAAAATGAATTCTAACATGTTATTTATACGTACATATGAAACTTTATTAATTAGGTTACATATATTTGAAATAAATAAATTAATTAATTAATAAATAAATAAAGTTTACTAAATCTGAGAAATGACTTAGCTAGTTTTTGTAGTAAGTGCCATTAATATTACTTAAATAATATTTAAATTTAAAAAAAAAAAAAAAAAAAAAAAAATTACATATACTTTGATATGGAAAAATAATCTTACTTAATATGAGTAATTTTCCTTCTGTTATAAAAGTAATATAGTCTATTAAAACTAAACAATGAAAATATTTTAAAATTTTAAAGTTGTAATTTTGAATTTGTAATTAAAATTGTAGTTAAATTGAATAATTCTAACCTAAATTTCTTTTTAAATAATAATACACGCATTAAAAAGAATCCAAAAAATAACACCTATAGTAAAATAAAATTAATATGAAATACCATAACATGTAAGCTTTTGAATGACCCATGTCCTCAGTACTTACATGTGAAATATTATAATAATAGGTTTATATAAAAGAAAAGTTTACTGAATCAGTGAAATTAAGTAACCATTTCTGCTGTCATAGTCATAAAAAAAAAAAAAATGTAACCTCATATACATACTTAAACTTAATGTTAAAATAATCCTACATAATATAATGGATTCTAATACATTTAACTGTTCTTAAAAAGAATATAGTAAAATAAAAATTAAAAAGGAAAATATTTCAAATCGTAGTTAAATAAAAAAATTGTAAAAAAAAAAATCTTTAATTTTAAAAGATGACGTTGAAAATTTTTACCGTTAACAATTTTTTTTTTTTTTTTAAATTCAGACGACATCCATTCAACCGACGTCAGGTTTCAGTGTAAAAATACATCCTCACCCCTTACCAAAATGTAGCTAATAACTGATACAATGATACTGTCATAAGGAAAATCTAGACACCCGTGTTCAATTTGAGTAGAATATTCTGTAACCATGGAAACGTGATTTTAGCTGTGTATTTAAAACCCGGTAAATTTTAAAAGTTACTCCAAAATTCGCTTGAAGATGAAATGGAACTAATGCTTTTAATTTATTTAAAAAAAATAAAATTAGGGGTTTTAGCTTCTATTTTTGAAACATGGTTGAACTGTGTAGCGAAAATAACCATATTTTTTAAATCAATTAATTTATAATATTAATGCTCTGTAAATTTACATTGAGCACTATTTTGTAAAAATAAAATATCTATAAGAACACCGGATTTTATATCTTACTGTTCTTTCTTTTTATTTATATACATATATATATATATATATATATATCACACACACATAATAATTCGTCATGTATAGACCTAGAAACCTCAACAAAATGCATAAAACCACTGTACGGCCGTTTCGTTCTATTTTGGAGACACATCAACAGTGTGCAATCGCTACCAAGTATCGAACTTGGACCGTTACGATACAACGTAAACATCATACCACTGGACCAACGAGTCACGTTAGCGGAGAGGAAACTAAGTAACTATACACATTTATATATAACATTGATTCTTTTTCTACGGCTTATCAACCCTTTGAAGGTTATTTAAAGCCATAATTTATTTTTAGATTGTAAGAATTTTCTTTAATAAAAAAAGTTTAGTGATACAAGTCTTACTAATTAACCCATAGCTGGGAGGAGAAGTAGATTCATACTTTTCCCAAAGGTATTTGCGTCTAACGAATCCAACGGAAATTGAAATCGGCTCTCCGATTTACCACATGCAGATCCAAGCTTACAGCACCTATTATTCCCAAGCGGTTACCCATCCAGGTACTGATCAGTCTCAATGTTGCTTAACTTCAAGCATAGTACGGAAACCGGTGTTTCAATATGACGTGGCCGTAAGCAGTTTTATATAAAAGGAGGGGAAAATTGAGAGTAGCAATGCAACAAACACCGGTTACAGTTTACATCTAAACGTTAAAGATACAGAGACGCTCAGCTTTAAATTTAGATTTTCACGTAGAAATTTAACTTTGCCGATTTCATTCAGCTTTTTGTTGCTTTTGTATTTATTTATTTCCGTTTTGTCTTATTTTTATTGCTATTGTTTCTCATTATTCACATTTTAGTAGTTGTTTTAGTTTCGTGAGTAAAGATGAAAGAAAAGAAGCCTCATGATCCTGAATTTAAATTTGCCTAAATACGTATTTTCGTATTGTATCTTACACACACACACACACACACACACACACACACATATATATATATATATATATATATATATATATATATATATATATATATATATATATATATATATCATCGTATCCAAGAATTTAATTTCTTCTTTGTTGATCACTTCCTTTATGGCGATGGCGTTGATGACTACATTCACCGCCAACCTGCAGGTTCAGAACTAGAAGCTTCCACTTTCACCAAAACCTGCTCCCATCATTCATTCTCTATGGCCTTTTGGCTTTTCAAGAGTTGGTTGAAGGTGAAAGAAAATCCGTGCAGGGGAAAATTGCCGATAGCGTGAATTTGTTTAAGGTAGACTTTGTGTTGCCAGGAAGTGACCCACACACTAGATTTCATGACCTTCCTCTGCCGTACATAAGGAATATGACATGCAGAATCCAGTTATGAAACGGCAACGGACTGCCGCACACTGTCTTATAATTTTGAGTGGCGCTTTTTATAGCATACCCGTCATACCTAGACCTCTTAATTTCGCTGGTTCAACCACTGAGATCACACACACACGCATATATGTGTGTGTGTGTATCTATATAAAAGTCACATCAGTGTTCACTTTTATATTTAAAACGCTCTGTCTCTGATATTGAGCACTTTTCTCCATAAATATACCACATCTTGAAACTACATTTTTATCAAATTCATAAATCAGCTAAATGGAAAATTTTATATTTTTATTAACCCAATAGATAGATAGATAGATACGGGTAGACTGAAATAGAGAGATATGATTTAAGAGAGATTTTATTTAATATAGGTAGATTTATAGAGAGATTTTATTTATAGAGATTTTATTTAAGATAGAGAGATAGATAGATAGATAGATAGACACGGGTAGACATAGATAGATAGATAGATAGATAGATAGATAGATAGATAGATACGGGTAGACTTAGATAGATAGATAGATAGATACGGGTAGACATAGATAGATAGATAGATAGATAGATAGATAGATAGATAGATAGATAGATAACTGACAAATTGCTTCTATTCTGTTTTTATTGTATTTTTCTCGTATACAAACATTTAAATTAGCGAGTCTAGAAAATTTTCAAATGATTGTTCGTTCCGATGCTTTTCAACTAATCTATTAACCAGTTTCAATGATTTTGGTTATGCCATTGTAAATGGTATGTCAGTGTTATTCTAAACAGTCTAAAAACTGATGAAAGATAATTATAGTCTAAATTCTAAAATACAACATATACATTCTAATCGCTTTCATAAGTGTTAATATACATATATATATTCGCATCAATTGGGAGGACCGCATCACCAACAATGATATCTTACACCGGCATCGAGGCTACCATCCTTCAACATCGCCTCCGCTTGGCAGCTCTTTCTTTCAGGACGTACGCGATCATGGCTCTCCGCCTCCTTCTATCCCTTACAGCTCTCAACAAGTTCCTTCCCTCTGCCACCTCCCCCAGACCATGTCCTGTCATCCATTTGCTTAAGCCCGATAGGTATGGAATGCGTTGTTTTCCCTTGTCTCTCTTTCCTTCTATTCGACCCGTGAGTATCAGATTCTCCATGGCCTCCTTCCTCATTATGTGTCCCAGAAACTTCAGCTACCTCTTCCCGGTATTAGGTATAAGCCTCCTCCTTGTTTGCATCCTCTCTAAGACTTCATTGTTTATTCTCACGCTTGGTCCATGATATCCTTAGCATCCTTCTGTAGAACCACATCTCCGTTGCTTCGAGTCTCTTCTTCATCTTTAAGGAAATCGTCCAACATAAGGACATATGACACGTAACAGCTCAGTATTCTTTTCTTCGTTACCAAAGAAATCCTTCTGTCTCGCAATACTCTGCCCAGTTTTTGGAATGGGTCCTTGGCCATCCCAATACGTCAACGGATCTCAGTGTCGCATTTACCGTCCTCTGTCAGAACGCTTCCCAGATATTTAAACTTCCGCATCTTTTTAATTCTAATGTTCCCGATCTATAAATCGCATTTCGGGCTCATCCTTTTACTGATGACCATGCATTCTGTTTTCTTGTAGTTTATGCTTAGTACCTTCTTCTCTCTCCCTCTATCGCTACCTTCTGATTTTGTAATTTCTTTCCAGAGCCTGATATCAGTATCATGTTATCAGCGTATCTTATGTTGTTAAGATTGTGGTCGCCAATGCTAAATCCCAATAGGGTTTTCAATTCTTTCAGAATTGCCTCGCTGTATAGGTTGAACAGGTCGGGTGAGAAGACGCATCCTTGCCTTACACCCCTTTCTGTTTTTGTATATTTGCTGAACTCGTTCTCTATGCGAATGCATGCTGTTTGCTGCCAATATAGATTCTTGATTATTCTTATATATTTTCCGAATATGTCAAGGTTGCTGAGCAGTTCCATCAGATACTTGTGGCTTACTTTGTCAAAGGCCTTTGCATAGTCTACGAAAGATACACGTCCTTCTGCATTTGCTGGGCGGCTCACGTGCCCAGAATGCGTCCCACTCGACTTCTACGTATCATCCTGTTTGGAGAACTCGCCAGCGGCAAGCGGATATGCGGAGATCAAAAGAATGACGCTTCAAGGATCCCAGCCACGTCCACAACCCACACTCCTCAGTGACTCTTGCTCAAGACTCTTCAGGAGTAGTTTGGGCCTTCACAGCCACATCCACCACCGCCACCAGAGGGAAGAAAGAGAATAAGGAGAGAGGATGACGATGCTCGAAGGCCAGAGGGTGCCGACTGTTAATGTATCATCACTGCTTTCATTCCAATTCCAGATCACTCGTCTATTGGACTCTAGAATAAGCTGAGCAGCAATGGGTTATTCTTAGGATTCATTTCTTTGCTAATTCATTTATTGAAACAGTACTTTTCAACATCAAATCCACTGGGCGAGTTACGTATCCAGAATGAGTCGCACGTATCATCCGGTTTGGAAAAGGACGCAAAGGACCAAAATGACACTTCAAGGATCAGTTGAAAACATCCCTGACACAGGCCAACTTCGATCCGGAGACCTGGAAAACTATTTTTGCAAATTCAGCCTTCCTAGTTTAGGACCATCCGTCGAGACTTTCGAATCCAACAGTCAATATGAAGAGGATATTCGACGTTTTGTCAGAAGGGCACAACTCACTCAGCCGCGTCCACCACCCAAACTCCTCTGTGACTCCTGCTCATGACTCTTCAGGAATAGGTTGGGCCTTCACAGCCACCTCTGCCCACCAGAAGGGAGAAAAGGAATAAGAAGAGAGGGTGACGATGATCGATGATCGGAGGCGAGCGGGTGCCGACGATATAAATAAAGATTCAAATTTTCACGGCTGGTGTTTCAAAAGTTTCAAATTATTGTTTTATTGGATTGCCTTTTAATAATATATTCATAATGCGTTATTTATATATATTGTTTCCACAGAAGATGAACATTTTTTCGCTCCTAAAATGCTTTGTGATTTATATTTTAGAAAATATTTTTAAAAATTCAAGCAATTGGCAATAATTAGAAAAAAGAATCAAAATCAAATCATCGGTCTTCCTATGTCATTTCTATGTCAGATTATCTATTATCGTCCACAAAATCTATGAGGATTGATCTTCGGACCTAACGGTCAAACGGGGAACGGCTGCGTGTCAACAGTGTGAAAAGCTTCGTAGAAAATGAACCACAGACAGGACGGCCTGTAGAAACATCCGTTGTTGAAAAAATAAAATCTATTTGTCGGAAAATATTCTTTTCCTGTTGTTATCGATTTATGAATGTTAGACGCACACCTTCTGGATTGTTCCTATGAAAATAAACAGTTACCGCGCATAATAAAGCTGAAAAAAGTAACACTTTTTAAAAGGTATTAAAAGGATTTAAAATTAAACAATTTCTGATTTTTTTTGGTGGGGGAAATAACATAATAGTGCCTCAAATGGTTTGGAGAAGTGTTACTGATAGGGATCAGCGTTGTATTGAACATGAAGGGAGTATTTTGGACATGTTAAATAGTTTTTTAAGCATAACAAAAATATTCTTTTTTTGTGATAACACTTATAAATTGTCTTAATCTACTGTAGTTTATTTTTGTCCAATAAAAGGTAATGAATTTACTTCTGCCGCACGCTGCATTAGAAAGAGCTTTCATTGGACTTTTTTTTCAATTCGTTTCACCTCAAGTAAGGCTATAATGCCACTAAGACGCAGGGGGTTATAGCGGGTGAAAGTGAAAGAGAAAACTGAGAATGGAGACGACTGAAGATATGACTAAAAGAGAACAGGATTGAAGTTAGCGATTGACGTTGCACGTAAATTTTCGAAGATTGTAGTTATCAGGGAGGTAAGAATTCGGAAGGGAGTTCGACTAGTGGATAGTGCGAGAAAATAAACTGTTCGAAGAAGCGTTTGCATATGTCTAGTCCAGCAGTGAGACCTAGTTGCCAATCTAGCAGCACGTTTAAATTCATGTAGTCAGGCCACCAAGAAAAAAAGCTCATCAGAACAGTTGCCATCAAAATATTTGAAGAAAAGACAGAGGGAAGCCACGTTCCGTCGGTGATAAAGTGACTGAAGTCGAGATCCCAAATCAGGATCGATTGATTTATAGACATTTCCTTGGAAATTTGTCAAGATGTTGAATTTCCGGAAAAAATGTTTTAAGAAAATCTTTTTTTATAATTTTCAACTGACATTAACATTCA